CGTCCTCACCTCACTCCCGCCATCACCATGACACGCACCTCCGTCGACCATGACGTCCTCACCTCACTCCCGCCATCACCATGACACGCACCTCCATTGACCAATGACGTCCTCACCTCACTTCCGCCATCACCATGACACGCACCTCCGTTGACCATGACGTCCTCACCTCACTCCCGCCATCACCACGACATGCACCTCTGTTGACCAATGACGTCCTTACCTCATTCCCGCCATCACTTCATAGGGATTCACTACAACTTAGGGGGAAACGCAGACCTGGCTTGTGGATGGGCTGCTTGGTGTACTGGTGCAGGCCTCACTACAGCCTCACATGGGAACAGCCTGACAGACAGTGGTGGAGCAGAGCCCTGGGCAGGGTACCTGGTCAGCTCTGTGTATGGTGGAAAACAAGCTGCCTGTGCTGAGGATAACAGGGTCCGAGGCAGCACAAACAGCTGGTCAGGACCCTGGAGGGAACAAGGTCTAGGGGAGAGGCAGACAGACAGGCCTTGGGAACAGGCATGGGGTACCGGCCTTTGTTTTGCGAACCAACACTCACCATGGGGCACTAAAAACCAAGCATTGGGATAAGTCGACCAACAGATATCGGCTAGCCTCTGTCCTCACCAGCCCCAGTGCCACACAGCAGACCTCTGGATAGGGTGGCCATCATGGCCAAGAGCCTCTCAGCAGATGATCCAGCCATGACCACTGACGATTATCTACCTGGGGTGAGCAGACAGCAACACTGGGCCTCCATTTGGTGCCATGCCTTGTGGCTGTCAACCAGCCACCTAGTGGTAAGCCGACTGTATCAGACCTCCTTCTCCTGGAAAGGGCAGTGATTTGTCTCAACCGGGATCCACCCACATCCCAGGTGTGGGTTTGCCTTTCCTTGTGCAGCACTGTGGCAGCACTAGCATCTCAGGGCTGGTGTCAGAGGTTTCCCAACACAGGATTTCATATAACATCAGCTCGGAGCACAGGCAGGGGATGCGTGTGAGCCAGGTGACCTCAGGGTCCACTGGACCATCTAACGCAACACCACTCAGGAGATGCTGCCCTGACCTTAAAGGCAGAGACAAAATGCCGGCTTGGTGAAACACTTCATGGGGTTGGGCTGCCGTATTTCAAGAGGAACCAATGGCCAATCGATGGCACTGGCTGCCCAATCAGTAAAATGCACGGATCAAGGAAATGGTGAAAGGAGAAGTGGCCCCTCTCACCATCGCTCCAGAAACCCAGTAGGAACTTTGTGCTCATCTTCCCCAAATTTAGGTCTGGCAAATCTAGAAGCCCTGGTTCAAAGAGGTGGAGAAGGTCCTACCACCCAACACAAAAAGCCATGGTGGCCACCTGGTCACTTGGGGCTGCTTGTGCCAGAAGGCCAGCAGGCATCACAAAGAGTGTCCATGCTGACCAGATCACCTGACCCTCATTATTGTGAAGGGCAGAGCTGCCACTGCATAGTTCTGGGAATCAGGGCCTTCAGTGTGCCTTTCTCCATGCTCCTATGAACATGCTCCTAGCAGCAGTCTCCACTGTGACTGGATTACTACAGCAGCCAGGATTGGACAAAGGAATGGCAGCAAGTAGGGACTTGGGATGCGCAGGGCTGAGGGTCTGGGTCACCCCACCAGGGCAGCAACCAGTGCAGCAGAAGGCTGGCCACAGGTCAGGGGCTCTAGAAAGGGTGGTAGGGGGAACGGGATGATGAACATCAGCTCTGCTTGGACCAGCACAGCAGAGGCAGCTCTGCTCTGTCTCCCAGACACCATGACCAGCACCACCCTGAAGAACGAGCACAGTGAACCCAATGTGAAGTGTGGGCAGAACAGGAAGGAGCCCTGGCACTCTGGCAGGTCCTCCCGATGGTGTCAGACGTCCCTTCAGCCCTAACAGTTTGGGTGCAGAGGCTCCTTCACAGCACTCGTGGCTTACTCGGGGAGCCGGAAGCATCTGAGAACTGACACCCCAGGTGCAGCCCTCAGCCTAATGCCTTGCGGAGGGTGCAGAGGCAAACACGTTGCAGTTCCCTTTCCAGCAGGGATAGCTCTGAGGTGCGACCCAGGCTGCTGCCAGAAGTCCCTTGGGAGATGACCCACACTGACCCACCAGGACGGCTTGGGACGCGGCATTCTGGTCCTTCTCTACCCACCCATTTCCCCACGCCCTCGGCTGGTTTCTACTGGGAACACCACTTAAGACATAACTTCCACATGAGTGCTCGTTTCTGCATCTGCTTCTCGAAAATTCAACCTAAGACCAAACAAATGAGGTTTCTGCCATTTATCTCCAGAGTAATATGTTGTACTCAAAAAATGTTGCTTTATGATCAGACGCTGTGGCATTTGTTGAAACAAGCTGACGTTCCAGCACTGGGCAATTTTAAGGCATAATCCACATAGCTTTGGTAAGAATATTTCCCCACATAGAGAGAGAGAGAGAGAGAGAGAGAGAGATGGTGGGGGCAATATTTTAAAATATAAATCCTTACGGGTTTCAGTTTATATATTTTCGATACCACCTTGTTAGATACACATTATACAGATACAAATGTGAGACTCACATCTTCTTGGTTAGTTGCTACCATGGAGCTCCAGGTAACTCTCAGGCCCAAAAGATGTTTGAGAACCACTTTCTTACGCAAGAAAGAACATCTGCTGAGGTAACACCCAATCCCTAAACTCCACCCCTGGAGCGAAGCCTCCACATGTCCAGGGGGTCCATCCAGGGGGTCCTGGGGAACCCAGGAAGAGGCCAACACAGGGCCTGGAGATGCACTGAGGGGAGCAGCCTCTAGAAGGAAACCACCTGGGGACCCTGAAGGAGGGACAGAAATGCTACTTACCGCAATCTCTGTTACTAAAATATCAGTAATACTTCCCAACACAGTGACAAAGTCAAAGACATTCCAGGCATCTCTGAAATAGTTCTAGAGAAAAAGAAGAGCAGTTAGTGCCAGCGGTTGATGAGGGCTCTGTCGGCAAAGAGGTATAGGTGGTGGCCCCGATCAGGAAAGGGGTGAGGGTGACAGACACAGAGCACAGGGCAGACGGGCCACCCCAGGGGGCACAGCACAAGGCCAGAGCTAAGCAGATGTCAAAGCCAGGGACACAGACACCTCTGGGCCTGGGCAGAGGCAGGACTAAGGGCCATGTGTCCAAAGAGGAAGAACCCAGCCCTGCCGGCCTCCCAGGACCTAGGCTGGGGGCAGAGCTTATGCAGCCGAGAGGGTCAGAACAGCCCCTTCCCCAGAGCCCCTGTAGTGTCTCACACACTCTTACTCGGAGAATTCCCAGCTCCAATTGTGAGCCCCCAGAGGTCGCCCTACAGACGGGGAGCCAGAATGCAGGCTGTCAAAAGGCAAAGGGGGACCAAAGCACGTACCAGCACCCCGAAGGCGATGATCTTCAGCACGCATTCCATGGAGAACATGGACGTGAACACGATGTTCAGGCACTTCAGCATCAGCTCGTACTCATAGGGCGCATCATAGAACTGCCCGGGGAAGACGTGCTGTTGGCCACGGGTTTGGCAGCCCCAAGACACCCCATCTGGGACCACCATGACCAAGCAAGGGGGGCAGACAGAACTCCAGGCCTGCCCAGGCCTGGGACACCCCTTCCTGCTCTCCGCGAGTCCTCCCAGAACCTCCCCACTGTCCCAGCCCACAGACAACAAAGGGGAACAGGATTCCACAGGCATCCCGTGCTGGCCAGGGTGCAAGGCCATGACTCTTTGGCTCATGCCGGGAGGAAGAAGGCTGACTCCACTCAGCCTCAGGGTCAGATCCCAATCCCTAGCAGCGCCAGCTGCCCCCCGTGCTGAGCCCCACACACCTTCATCATCAGCACCACGGTGTTGAGGGCTATCATGGCCATGATGAAGTACTCAAAGGGTGGGGAGACCACAAATGTCCACGTCTTATACTGGAACGACTGCCTGTTTTGGGGCATGTACCGTGTCAGGGGTTTGGCGCTGATGGCGAAGTCAATGCAAGCCCTCTGTCGGGGAGAAAGGAGCACAGAGACTCAGACGCAGAAAACCGACCCTGTGGCGTCTACTGCACCAGCCCCGTCTCACCAGCCTCACGGGGAGCCCTGATGAGAGAGGGCAAACTGAGGCAGGCCAGACCTTCTCCAAGCAGGCCTCAACCCACCAAATCCGGTCCCTCTGCAGGAGAAAGGAGGCCCTGCCCCGGTGTTGGCAGACAGTGGCAGCCAAAGCTGACCCGGCTGTGAGTGACTTGTGTGCATCAGGAAAGCCTGACGGTGCTGCTCACGCTGTCCACTGCAAGACTCCACAGAGCGTCCACCTACCTCGTTCTTCTCCAGGCTGCATTCAGACATCACCTTGTCCCCCTGCTCCTGGAAGGTGATGATGATCAAGGCCACAAAGATGTTGACAAAGAAGAAGGGAAAGACCACAAAGTAGACCACGTAGAAGATGGACAGCTCCATGCGGTACCCAGGGCTCGGCCCCTGCTCCTCATAGGTGGCATCCACGGAGTGTTTCAGCACCCTGGGCCAAGAGGACAGCATGTGTCAGGGAAACCCCCAAAGCAGACAGCCCTAAGAACGCAAGACCTGCACTACAAGGATGGGTCTGCTTCCACACCGGAGCCCAGGGATGGAGGGAGGAAGGGAGGCCGAGCTCAGGGGCTGCCTGCCCCAGCTACGGAGAGCAGGATGAGCACTCACATGGGCCAGCCTTCTCCCGTGGACACCGTGAACAGTGTCAGCAGAGCCCAGAGCACATTGTCGTAGTGAAAGTCGTATTTCTTCCACTGCCTGGGCTGAGCTTCCACTTCCTCCTTCTCATAATCCAAATACTGACCCCTGGGAATAAGAACATGGGAGGTTAGAGGGCAAAGACAAAAGATCCAAATAAACCCACATATCAACCGACACTGAAGAGAGTGTTGAAACCACTCCGTGCGGAAAGAATGGCCTCTCCAACAGATTGTGCTGGGACAACCGGATGTCCACGTGCAGAAGGATGAATGTGACCCTGCTTCACTCCACAGACAAAAACTAACTCACGATGGATTCAAGACCTAAGTGTAATGAGCTACAACTACAAAATGCTTAGAGGAAAACAGGAGCAAAACTTCATGACCTCAAATCTGGGAATGGATCCTTAGATGTGACACCAAAATCATGAGCTACAAAATAAAAAATACAGAGGTAAATTAGGCTGCATCAAAATCTGACACTTTTGTGCTCAGAGGACATCAAGAAAGTAAAAAGATAAATCCACAGAATGGGAAAAAATACTTATTTCCTAATTGTCTGATAAGGGAGTTGTATTTAGAATATGTAAGTAACTATTCTAATAAATTTAAAAATAAAATAAAATAAAAAATGGGTAAAGGATCTGAATAGACACTCCTCTGAAGAAGATACACAAATGGCTATTAAGCACATGAAATGCCACTCAACACCAGTCGTTATCAGGGCAAGGCCAATCAAAACCGCCGCGAGACACCACTTCACGCCAACGATGATGGCTGTAAGTTTAAAAATACCAAAACTAAAAAGATGGAAAACAACAAGTGTTGGCAAGGATATGGGGAATTCAGAACCCTCGTGCATTGCTGGTGGGAATATACAATGCTTTAGCCACTTTGGAAATAGTCTGGCATTTCCTCAAACAGTTAAACACAGAGTTACCCAATCACCCATTAATTCCACTTCTAGGTACATACCCGTGAGAAGCGAAAACAGATCCACACAAAAATGTGGACACAAATGTGTACGACAGCATCATTTATAACAGCCACAAGGTAGAAACAACTCAATGTTCATCAGCAGATGAAAGAATAAGGAAAATGTGGCAGAGAGCAGATATTCAGCCGTAACAGGGAACGAGGCTCTGACACAGGCCACTGCGTGGACAAACCTGAAAACATCACGTAAAAGAAGCCACTCACAAAAGACCACACATTGTATCATTCAGTTTACAAAAAATGTCCAGAACAGAGAGGGTTACAGAGATAAAAAACAGATTCCTAGTTGGCTAGGGGTGGGGACAGGGACGTAGGGGATGATAGTTAAAAGGTGCGGGTTTATTTTTCTTTTTTTTTTTGAGGTGCTGAAAACGTGTTCTAAAATTGACTGTGGCGATGGTTGCGTGTACCTGTGAATACACTAAAAACCTCTTAATTGCACACTTTCAGTAGACTGTTATAAACAAACAGTATAATGTGTTAGTTATATCTCAATAAAGCTGTCCTTTTGTTTTTCATTTTCGGTTTTTTTTTTTTTTTTTTTTTGAGATTTTTGTTTTTCTTTGTATTGCTTTTTTGAGACAGATGCTCGCGCTGTCGCCCGGGCTGCAGTGCAGTGGCACAATCTTGGCTCGCTGCAACCTCCGCCTTCCAGGTTCAAGCGATTCTCCTGCCTCAGGCTCCTGAGTAGCTGGGATTACAGGTGTCCGCCACCACGCCCGGCTAATTTTTTGAATTTTTAGTAGAGACAGGGTTTCACTATGTTGGCCAGGCTGGTCTCCAACGCCTGACCTCATGATCCACCCACCTCAGCCTCCCAAAGTGCTGGGATTACAGGCGTAAGCCACTGTGCCCGGCCTAAAGCTGTTTTGTTTTTGTTTTTGTTTTTTTAAAAACCCCATTACACTGGGTAAGATTGACCTTTTCAAATAAACAACGCTGGGTGAATTGGATATCTATCATCAGAAAACATATCTTAACCCATACCTCATGCAACACATAAAAATCAACTTCCAAGTAAATTGCAGATCTTAATACGAAAGGCAAAAATAACACTTTTCAGAAGAAAACGCAAGAAAACATGCCTGGCCTTGGGATAGATTTCTTAAACAGGATACGAAGAGTACTTAGCATAAAAGAAGAAAAAGGATTAGTTGGACTATATTAAAATCAAGAACTATGGTTGGGTACAGTGGCTCGTGCCTGTAATCCCAGCACTCTGGGAGGCCGAGGCAGGAGGACTGCTTGAGCCCAGGAGTTTGAGACCAGTTTGGCAACATAGCAAGACCTCGTCTCAACAAAAAATTTTAAAAATTAGCCAAGCATGGTGGCACGTGCCTGTAGTCATCCGAGCTACTCAGGAGGTTGAGGAGGGAGGATTACTTGGGCCTGAGAGTTCGAGGCTGCACTAAGCTGCAATAGCAGCAATGCACTCCAGTCTGGGCGAAAGAGTGAGATCGTGTCCAAGAAAAAAAAAGAAAGAAAGAAAGAAGAACTTTGTTTTTTAAAAGACACCATTAAAAGAGTAGAAAGCACCATTCAGAGGAGGAGAAGACGTCCGCAATCCCTACATGTGACAAAGAGTTCCTGTCCAGAACATTACATGATTCCTGGTAACCAACAGGAAAGAAGTAGACAGCAGACACAGGACCACAGGCAGACACTTCCAGAAAAGAACACCTAAGCAGCCAATCCCCCTAGGAAAGAGGGCTCAATCTCACAAGTATAAAATTAAACCATGGTGAATGACCACCACACCCAGAAAGGCAAGACAGAAAACACCAAGATTTAGCTAGGATGTGGGGCTGGAGAGAGCGTAATTTCACACAAGGGCCTGGCAGCATCTGCTAAGGCTGAGCACACACACACCCAGGACCCGGCAATTCCACTCCTAGACAGATACATCTCCCTGAACTGCTACTGCTCCCTGGCGGACATGTGCACGTGCAGCCGCGCTCCCAGCCGCGAACAGCCAAGCGCCCGCCACTTACCAGTACAGGAGGAAGCTGCACGATACTCACACAGAGGCAGCTGGGACGCTGCTGCGTGGGCAGGAAGACACTGTGGGTATTGCCTGGCCCAGGGTCCACACAGGCAGCTACCCAGCTTTCCCCCAGCTCTTCCCCAAGGCCCCTCTCCTGTCTGCTTTGGAGGCAGGGCTGGGCACAGGAAGCTCTGAGGCCTCACACAGACAGTGACAGTGGATCCCGTCATCGGGCAGTCCCTCTGCCTCACAGCCCAGCCAAGATCTCTAGGGCTCAGAGAAGCCCTGCCCAGTGGGCACCTTGAGCTCCCTGGATGTCTGTGTCCCTCAGAACATACCTGGTTCCTGACCCTGCTGAGGCGGAAGGGCTGGGGGCCCCTGGTGTGGTGCTGGGGAGGGGATGCATTCCCGTCTTCTGTGGTGACACTAGCACTTCTCAAGCAAGCCCCTCCCTGGCCCTCAGGCAGGGTCCATGATGCTCGCAGTGGAGTCTCCCACGCCGTGTGACCAGCTCCACCCGATCCCAAGGGAACTCCCAGTGTTGTCTGCATCATGGGGCTGTGTGTCTCACCTTGCACCCTGCCTCAGTTTACCTGCAGTCTCTCTCCAGCTCCTTGGATTCATCTGTGCAGTAGAAAAACTTCCCTTTGAAGAGCTGCACGGCAATGACAGCAAAGATGAACATGAAGAGCATGTAGACAATCAAGATGTTGAGGACATTCTTCAGGGAGTTCACCACACAGTCAAACACAGCCTGCAGGAGGAGGGGCGGAGCCATGATGAGGGGGTGGAACCATGGTGGGAGGGTGGGGCCATGAGGAAAGGGGTGGGGTCATGGTGGGAGGGTGGGGCCATGAGGGGAAGGGTGGGGCCATGAGGGGAAGGGTAGGGCCATGGGGAGGGGTGGAGCCATGAGGAGAGGGGTGGAGCCATGAGGGCAGCCGCAGAGCCATGATGAGGGGGTGGAGCCAAGGTGGGAGGGCATGGCCATAAGGGAATGGGTGGGGCCACGAGGAAAGGGGTGGAGTCATGGTGGGAGGGTGGAGCCATGAGGGGAAGGGTGGGGCCACGATGAGATGGGTGGAGTCATGGTGGGGGGTGGGGCCATGAGGAGAGGAGTGGAGCCATGACAAGAGGTGGAGCCACAGGGAGGGGCTAGAAGCAGGAAAGGATGTGAAGGGACCCAGAAGAGAGGACCTACAGGATGGAAACCTGAGGACCACTGAGGTCCAGGTGGCCCCCAGGCATTCCAGTGCCCTGCAAGGCCCTCAGGCCCCTGACCGCAGAGAGGCTCCACCGCCAGCTTCCTTGACACAGAAGACTGGTGCTGTGTCTCTTGTGAGGGGAGGCATCTTGGCCCGGATGGAGGGGCGGGAGGTGCTAGAGGCAGCGGCTGGATGCCTAGGAGGCCTGACCTCACAGGTCAGAGTTCAGCCACGGAAACAGGAATGACCAGGAGCCCAGGCCGAGCTGCACCAGGAGGGGCTGGGCCTGTGCAGAGAGAGTGCAGCCAGGCTCTGCCCTGCACTTGCACCCTGCCCCTCAGAAAAGCAATTTGGGCAAACTGAGGATAAAGGAGTAGGCTTCAGGACAGGGACACATGTGGTCTGCGGCCCGAGGCCAGCCTGTCATCAGCCATCACCACCGGAGGCTTTCTCTCGGGTCTTTCCCAACCTGGAAGCTCAGCCTTCCCTGTGCACACGATGCTGCCCTCAGAGCTGGGAAGACACCTCCCAGGCTGCCCTGATCTGGCTGTGATGGGAAGGTGGGGCCACAACTGTCTCCCACAAAGCAGCCTGGCACACTGTGGATGACCACTGCACAGCACCACTCGGTGCCACTCCTCCCTGGACCCAGTGGGCCTCCGACGCCTTCCCCAGCTGCCTGCCAGCCCACTCCTTCACATACAGGTTCTAAGCAAACCTTCTTCTCTAAGGCCCACATTGCCTCAGGTCTCAATGGCTTGATCTCCAGTAAAAGAATCTGCTGCATAAAGGTTTGGGAGAGGAAGTGAGCTGAAACTTTCTCCTCTAAGTCGCACATTGCCTCAGGTCTCTATAGCTTGATTTCCAGTAAAAGAATCGTTTGGGGGATGAAGTAAGGTGAAGCACATGAAGCAATTCGCACAGGGCCGAGCACAAGCTCACGACGACTAGGTTTCCGCGTGGCCCTACGAGTTTGGGTTTACACTCTGTCTTTATCCAGAAGCTCAGCCTGTGCCCATCCCCCTCTCAGCAGCCAATGTCCCAAGCCCCTGACTCCAGCATCTCCCTCCACCACCCTGCGCCTGTCCCGCAGCCTTTCCCATACTGCACTGCAGCTGCTGAAGAAGAACCTTGTGCTGCCTGGTCCTGCTGGGCTAAGGAGGATCCTCACAGGAGGCTGCTGGGAACAAGGTCTACTTGGGGTAATGGGGGCTTACAGCTGAGTGAGCCCAACCCCCTCACGCAGGGGTGTGATGTGAGCACACACACTCATGCACACACATGCACATGCACACATGCACAGCACATCCCTCAAGCCCCAACTCCAGGCTCCAACCTTGAGCTTGGGCAGCCGTTTGATGGTCTTGAGGGGCCGCAGGACACGAAGGACTCTCAGGGACTTGATGGTATTGATGTCTTTCCCTTTGGATCCTCTAGAAGGGAGAAGCCACAGATGCAGACAGGCAGGAGGCGTGGGTGTGCCCAGCTCCCATGTGGCCCCCCCAGGGTCTGGGTCCTGCTCCCCTGTGCGTTTCGTCTCAGCCTCCAGGGTGGAGGACACATGCGCAGAGGCCTTGCCCTGCAGGTGCCACAAGCCACCATGACTCTTCCCAGAGGCTGCCTGGCCCAGGCCTCATCGAAGGACAGGAGCTGGGACCAGGACAGCAGCATCTGGTGCATAAGGAGAAGAACCATCACCCTGACACCCATCCCACCCACCCCAGCCTCCAGGAATAAGAGGACAGAAGGGACCTGCACGAGGACTGCAGACCCAGACGTGGAAGCCCACAAGCACATTTCTAGGGCTAGAATCTTCTGGAAGGGCTTTTTTCCTTGCTTTTTGGGCTGGCTAGAGGGAGGTAAAGGGGACTTGTCTGGCCTCTGCCCTACAGATCTCCTCAGTCGCCCTAACGTTCCTCCCGCTGACATGAAACTGACAGCAGGAAGACAGAGGAGGGGAAGGAGTGTAAGAAGAGAAAAAGTCAGACCAATACAGAGGCAATGCAAGAGGCAGGGTGGACTAAGACAAACAAGGGGAGAGGGAGGGAGGGAGGGAGGGAGAAAGAGCCACAGAGACAGACATATCAACGCGACCCAGAAAGCAGCAGACAGGAAAACTCATGCAGGGCACGGACAGCAAGACAGGAAGTCCGGGAAAGAAAATTCCAGGCACAGAAGCAAGCAGAAGTACAGAACTAGCGGGCCTCCATCAGGGCCCCTCCAAGAAAAAGCCAGGGCAGACCCATGTCGCTGCCTCCGCCTGTCAGGGACACAGAAATTAGCAGGTTCTGGGGACTGGACCTCCCACGACCCTACTGAGGCCGGGCCAGCAGTGTCGAGGAGAGGTGTCCTCCTAAGAAGGTCCCGGTTCTCAGAAGCAAAGCCACTCTACTTGGTGGGAGGTGAGGGTGGGAGCTGAGGGCTCAGGGCTGGGTGGGATTCACTCACACATGGAGCCCTTCCCCACCCTGCTCAGAGGTCACATCCCACCACGTTCCCTGGGGAAGGCCAGCTTGCAGGGGCAGCCCTGCCCTCTGTGCTCTTCCTGGGGCTCCAGCAACACTTGGGGCTGAGCAGAGAGTGCTCAGTCACCCTGAGCCGTGTGGCTACACAGTCCCTTCTTCTCCCCTGACTGTAGCCTACACTCCAGAATCAGATCAACTCCCCGTGAAACGCTTCCAGGTGGGAAGAACCCAGCCTCCTGTCTCCATCACCCCAGTGCTCCCGACACCCACTCTCAAACCAGCTTCCTCCACCAGCTGAGGGAAGAGGGGACAGGGGCAGGAGGGAGGGGATACTGTTTTGTCGCCCAGTAAATGAGGCTTTCTGGGGCAGCATCCATCTGGGGCCTGCTCCTTTTCTCCTGCTCTGAGGCCGCTTGGATGGGCCCAACCCCTTCCCCTCCTCCTGATTGGGGGACCCCTGGCTGCAGTGTTCCCACTCCTAAGGCCTATGGTGATGCTTTAGCAAAGTTCTCATTCCTTTATCACAGAAAGAGGAGACTGGGAACTGCAGGGGGCTGGAGTGGAGAGGAAAGAACGCCGGTCTTCCGGAGAAGAGCTGCACTGGAAGCACCTTACGATGTCCCCGGTCCTTGGGCTCCGGCCACAGGTGGCAGTTCCCTCCGGGAGCCCTTGCTGCCCTCCAGGCCAATGGCCCCAGTCTCCAGCCCTCACTGGGGACAGCCTGCTCACCAGGAAGCTCCTCACCAAGGGCTGACCATGCCCAGCTCCAGCCCAGCTCCCCGCCCCGCTCCCAGCGGCATGGCAGGAACCCCTGGCCGGGGACTTGGCTCCCAGCGGCATGCGCCCCGATGGGGTGAAGGTGGATGAGCGGGGGGTGAGGCTGGAGATGAAATGACCCAAGAGGGGCTGCTGGAATGCTGTGATGTCAGGGACAGCGTGTGGGGGAGAGCAGGCATTACCCCACGAAGCTCCTGCCGAGTCCAGCAAGAGGAAGACAAAGAGAACAGAGTCAGTGGCGCCAGGAGCAGCCCTCCCAGCGGCCCGGAGAGATGTGGACCCTCCCTCATGTCTGTCGTCCACTAGGGGTCTTCCTTGTCTCTGGGTCTCACCCCACAACTCCCCGCTGTATTCCCATCCCCAGCTGTAGCTGAGCCCCCGACGACAGCCTCCATGCAGGGTCTGAGGAAGCCAACTCCAGGTCCAGCCACAGCAGGGCCAAGTGCCAGTGGCTTGGGAGTCAGAGACGTCTAATGCCCCAAGAGGGGAAGGCGACCACCAGTTCTGCCTTGGGCGAAAGCACCAGAGGTCTCCCCAGGTCAGAAGCAGACTTGCCTCAGAGCAGGTCAAGGTGAAGTTGCCTCCAAGGACCCTGGGAGGCAAACGCTGGGCACACCAGAGGCTGTGCCACCCGGTCCCAGAGCCACAGGCCACACCAGGGCTTCCCAGCCCCACATAGTCCCCACCCCTCCAGGCAGGCAGGGATGGTCCCAGGGTCACAGGCCACGCCAGGGCCCTACCTAGTTCGAGAGGCACAGACAGACCTCAGGCCCTCCTGACCCCACGCAGCCCCGCCCCAAGCAGGCAGGGACAGTCCCACATAGACAGCGACAGAGCCACAGGCAGCCCAGGGAGGCCCACAGCAGGGCCTCTTCCTTCTTCCCTCACCCTCATGCCCATTGTGACTCTGGGGGCGCTCCCCAGCCAGAGCAGAGCAAACGTTACTTACGAGAAAGCAAACGCCACCAGGGCGCCACTGACCACAATGAAGTCCAGAATGTTCCACAAGTCCCGGAAATACGCCCCAGGGTGAAGCAGCAGTCCCAAGTCGATCATCTAGGAGGCAGAAACACACTTCAGGTACATGATAATCCAGAAAAGACAGGCAGAGGCCAGGCGCGGGGGCTCATGCCTGTAATCCCAGCACTTTGGGGAGGCTGAGGCAGGCGGATTGCTTGAGCCCAGGAGTTGGAGACCAGCCGGGGCAACACGCTGAAATCCTATCTCTCAGGAAAAAGTAAAACATGGCCAGGCATGGTGGCTTACGTAAGCCTGTAATCCCAGCACTTTGGGAGGCTGAGGCAGGCGGATCACCTCAGTTCAGGAGTTCAAGACCTGCCTGGATGACATGGTGAAACTCCATCTCCACTAAAAATACAAAAAATAGCCGGGCGTAGTGGTGCACACCTGTAATCCCAGCTACTTGAGAGGCTGAAGCATGAGAATTGCTTGAACCCAGGACAGAGAGACTGCAGTGAGCTGAGATCACGCCACTGTACTCCAGCCTGGGTGACAGAGTGAGAGCCGGTCTCAAAAAAATAAAACAAAACAAACCCAGAAAGACAGGCAGAGCTAGGCTCCAGAGTCATGAGGGAGGAATACAGCTCTAGGTCCCCGTGGAAGGCTGTGTGGCTGAGAGTGCACACGTATGTGCACACCTGTGACTTCAGTGCACCTTAGAGACACCTTCACATGCCCTGTCAGAGTAGGGAGGCACGGCCTAGGTCACACCCCGAAGGGCCTCAGTGGGCCTTTGGACCTCAATGCCATGGACCTAAATATCCCTACACGGCTCGTGACCAGCTGAGATCCTGCCTGGGCTTCCAGCTTCCCTTCAGCCTGAATAAGACTGAGGCCTCCATCTCCATCTGCTCCTCCACCGCAGAGCTGTAGGCACACATGGCCCCAGGGAGCTCAGAGCTCGCCCAGATCCCCTGCAGGCAAGCTCAGAGCAGCAGGACGGCAGTTCCACAGACCTTCACTTGCATCCTGGCTCTGTCACTCCTGCTGCTGCAATTCTGGGCCAGCACCATAACCTCGCTAAGTGTCTGTAAAATGGGGATGATGACGCCCACCCCGCAAAATTTTGCAAGAGTGAAATAGCAGAGGTAACGTGTTCATGCATCTGCTGTCAGTGCTCCATACGCACACGCTGCCCTGTGTGCATGCATGCGGGCACACACACACCCTAAGCTGCACGGAAGTCACGGACGTGCAGCTGTGTGCACACTCAATCACACTGAAGACACACCTGCATAAACGCACAAGGGCCACACTAGTCAGACAGTGATATGGGGGGACCTCGTACCAACACTTAGAGGCAGACAGGGAAGGACTCTGAATCTATCATAAGACAAATGTCCTCCTAAATTCAAGTCTTCAGCACCCACTTCCAGCAATCTTCCAACATTCTCTCTCAGGTCTCCTCCTCCCCGAGCCAATGCCACGAAGCCCTCTTCCTTTGCTGTCCCAAGAGGGAGGGCCTCTGCCCACATGTGCACATTGGAGAGAGACTGTAGCTCATGTGTTCAAGAAACCAGGGCAAGTGGAGGCCCAGGCACGACGCTGGGGAGCACTCCCAGTGGGGGACGTAATTTCCTCAGTGAACGACAAAGCCTCTTTGCACACGTTCACGTGCTGAGCACACACCCAGTTCACACCTACCATATGTCTTAAGAGTTTATAAGAATTGTGGTTCAACCCCTGCCCTGGTCCCATCTCAAACACTGGGGTCACGAGGGGCAGCCACATATCTCACCTTTATCACCATCTCAAAGGTAAAGACACCAGTGAAAATGTAATCCAGGTATTTCAGAGCCTGAAACCAAAAGGAAGGTTACTCTCAAAGGCTGGGCTGAAACCTAAGCCAGGTGCCCTCGGTGGCTCCGACTTTTTCCTCGGAGTCAGCCAGGAAGCCAGGAAGCCTGTGGACAACGGTTCTGGGAGGGGGTCTCCGACAAGCCTGTCTGGGAACAGGCCCCCTCTGCCGCACCGTCTTCCTGTCTCCAGACCTTCGGTCCTGCACTCCCAGGCACACAGAGAGAGGAAGGAGGGGTGTCCTGTGAGAAGACAGGACTCCAGTCCCACCCCAGCCCCTTGGGCTCCTGGGAAGGCACCCAGCTCCCGCCCCACAGCCTGGCGGGGGCCCGGCCGTCCGGGCCACTCACATTGTTCCTGGGCGAGTCCGTGTGCACTGGGTCCTCAGCAGCCAGGGCGATGCTGCTCAAGGCGATGACCACGAGAATCACCATCTCGAAGTACCTCATGGTCACGATGTAGTGACAGAAGCGGCGGAGCCTGTGAGGGAACGCACGGATCACAAGGCCCACCCGCTGGGTGCGCCAGCCCCCTGCCACAGGGCAGGCTCAGCCCGTCCCGCAGAAAGGGCTCTGGGCTGCCTCAGGAAGCTGTGGCCCCAGAGCTTCGCTTGGTCCCTGTGGTTGGAGGTGGCAGCCAGGTAACGGAGAGTGGCTGAGATTCCTGAGAGGGCCTCCCGGCATAGGGAGTGGGGAAGGCTGCAGAATCTCACGGCAGGGGTCAACAAAGCAAAGCTCACAGGCCAGATCGGGCTGACCTGTTTGTGTGAATAAAACTTCACTGGAGTACAGCTACATCCACTCATTACCAACTGTCTGTCCATGCAGCCAACAGCAGTCTAACGCCAACAGCATCAACTACCCAGCCCTTTCACAGAAGAGGTCAGCTGTGGGCAGCAGGAAGGGAGTTGCTCAGAGAGGAAGAATTTCAGCATCAACATTCTCAGGGAGAGCAGGTCTCTCTTGCCCTAGGAAAGTTCTCTGGGGCCTGTGCGGGGTGTGTGTGCCCTGTCCAGGCTCCCAGGGTGCATATGAACATGCTCCACACACTGCCACATGCTCGCCTTTTGCTCCAGTCCCATGTGCCTGACTCACTTGTTCAACATTACTGAGCACCTACCCATCACAAGGGCTGTGCTCTGGCGGTGCCTCCCCTGCCTCGCAGGCATGCCCACCGCCCCCAGTCCCTCTCAGCTCTTCCTCTCACCCACACCTACAAACCCCCAAGGGCCATCCACCTTAAGCGGCTGCCCACATCTCCCTCTTCCTTGAAGGGAACTCTGCCATCTAGCTCCTGCCCCTGTGTCCATAGAGCTGTTCATCCCTGGCCCACCGCCAGCCTGCTGCTGCCTCAGCCCTTGCCACTTCCCCTCCTTAAAAGGGCTGCCTTTCCTTCTAAATCAGCCGTCATCCACTCCAACTTGTGTCTGGGTTTCTGGCACTCAGCTCTACCCCCAGCTCAGATCCTAAGTCCACCTGGCCATGAGACATCCCCAGCCGCCCCAGGCTTTGCAGGGTCTGCAGGCGGGACTCCAGCAGCACTGCAGGCCTCGGTGAATGCAGTGCCTTCCGCCACTGTCAGGCAGAAACTGGGTGTCATCCTCGATGTCTCCTTCCCCTTCCACATCTAATTTATCACCAAATTCTGTAGATTCTGCCTCTAAAATTCTTCCACACGCACTTAACTTCCAAACCTCACCACTATGAGCACCCTGGTCTAACCACCACTGCCTCTCCCTGAAACCCTTACCGTCTACTCAGTGGCCTCCATCTGCAGTCTCCCCATAGAAGGGCCCTGCTGGGCTGCAATCTGAGTGCCCCCACCGTGCACATGTCCCACGCTCCTCAGCGTGCTCCGGGACGGTGTGACCCTCCAACGCCGCAAGAGAACAGCCAGCCAGCCCCGCCTCCCCTCTGTGTTCCAACCCAGCTTTGTCCTCGGCTGTTTGCCGACTGCTGGCTTCTACTTCTGGGCTACTGTGAACACTCCGCTAGCTCCTCCCCTCTCCCCTCTTCACCTTAACTCTCACTCATCCTTCAGGTTTCAACCAAGATGTCACTGCCACCAGAAAACCTCCCTGGCCTTCTCTCACCTGCTCCCAGAATGCCAGTGCCTTCCCGTGTTTCCTTTTCCACCCCGGGTCACCGCCCCCACCTGCCACTGCACTGCCAGTCCTGACATGGCAGGGTCCATGTCTGCCTCCATTACCGCTTTACTCCTAACCACAGTAGAGCACGGTAAGCTCCCCAGACATGTGTTGGATAAAAGAATGATGGGAGGGAGGAGGCAGGAAGAGGGGATAACACAGGGCTTGGTGGAAAGACGGTTGGATGGTGAAAGAAGGGGATGGACAGATTAGTAACCAACAGGCACATGTCCACGCAGCCTTGCTGCCCTCTGCCCTCCCGGGCACCTGCCCAGCCCCTGCTCTGGCCGGGCAAGCTCTTGTGCGGCTCCACCCCTGCTCTGCCTCTCCCTCTGCCTCCTCCTCCTAAAGCTCTGCTCCAGTCTCACCCCAGAAGCCCCACCTGACCTTCTCATCTGTGTTTTAGCGCCCAATGGTCCGCATCTCCCCGCCTTGCTTTGTGTTTCCTCCCAGCACTTATCACTATCTGCATCTTATGTCTTTTACTTATTTGTCGTGTCTGTTGTCTATCTCTCCCACCAACACACAGGCTTAGCAAGGACAGGGGATCTCACCTGTTTTGTTCATTCCTAGCTATTCCCAGCACCTAGAGTGCTATCTGCCACATCAACACTGGCTGGACTAACGGAAGCTCTGGACTGAAGAGTGGATGACGGATGCATGAAAAGTACAGGCACGGACACACGGACAGACATGCAAATAAACACAGTGCACACATGCATGGCACACAGGCGCCAGGTGTGATGGGAAGGCAGAAGGATGGAAGTGTGTTTGTGAGACAGGGCAGACGGGGTCCCTGTGTGCAGAGACACACACACGCCACATAGGAGGTGAGGAGCCCGGGCCTGGAGCTCATCCCAGCTCTGCTGAGGCTGCCTGTGAACAGTCACAGAACCTCCTGTGTCCGCGTCCTCTTCTGCAGAATGAGGCCACACGGGCACGTGCCTCTGGGGACTGCTGTGGTACTCAGAGACGTTTGTCTACGTAAGTGTGCAGAATCAGTGCACGCTGGCTACTGTGTTCCCATGGGTCGCGATGCAGGGGTGAGTGGGCAGCCACACACACCGGCAGGCAGGAGACTCACAGGTTGGTGGGGCTTAAACAGAACATGGAGCTGTACGGGACGATGGGCCGGGGGCCGCTCCTCATCACGTCATCCGCTTCTACCTCCTTCTTCCCCTCTGCTTGGCTTTCCAGGTCCACGTTACCACCTACAAAGACACAGGGCCCCCGAGTAAGGGGTGTGGTACACACAAAGTCACATCGCGTGGCCCTCTCCTAGCTCCCATGTTCCCAGCAGTTGCGCCAGGTCCTCGCAGGCCCACCAGGGTTGGCCTGCAGCTAAGAACACCGCTTCACACACACGACCACGGTGCACGCCAGCCAGGACCACCGTCTGCCGCGGAGACGTGAACAGACCCTTCCTCACCTCTTGCTGCACCAAGGTTGGGAACAACACAGAACCCAGCACTGCCCCCCTGGCTGTGGACCCCCCCGCCTCGCTGAGCGGGTCTCGATGCGCTGAGAAGCCCAAAGCCTGGTGATACCTTCCCACTGCCTCTGCTGGGACCGCGAACCCGCAGCACAGGGAGGAGCAGGGGCCAGCCCCAACCCGCAAACCCACAAGGGCTCCCTGTTCCTCGTCGTCCAGTCTCCCTTGACCTGGGATTTTCTTCCTCGGGATCCCAGGAGAAGGTCCTGTGAGGCCATAGAGCTTGGAAGGACACTCTTCCCGGGGGGCCCCAGCCTCTGCTCAGGCCCTGCTCCCTCGCCAGCCCCCACTCGTCGCCTCCTTCCCCCAGGGCCCATCTTCTGCTGTTCAGCACCCCAACCCACCCCAGCCATGCTCCCACAAATCAAACTCCCCAGGGCTAACATGGCCACCACCTTGTTGTTTTCTAAGGTAAATTTTGTTGTCCCTGCCCAGTGTTTTTTGTACAATAATTCTCCATTTTCAACTATCCTACTGTATATTTTAATTTTTGTAGGTGACAGAGCTCTTGAGACCTCAGGGACACCAAGGAAGATGTGCAGTGACTCGGAGCCGCCTCCCACTGCTGCAACTCATTTTGAATTCTTTAAAGAAATATCAAAGCAAATAGGATTTTAAAGAGCAACAAAGTGAAGGTGCTAATCGAGAGCCCGCTGTGGAGCCCTTGACTGCTGGCCACTTTGAAGCCCTGCAGAGAAAGGCTGTGCCAGAGAAAACCAAGCTTCGAGATGAGCATGAAAACAGTCAAGGCCACAGCAGTCGGGGTCTATACCACTGAGGATGCTGGCTCCAGAGCCAAGATAACCAGGCCCCGCCCACGAGCACAAGCTGTTTAAAGCGACCACTTTTGAAATGGGCACCGTCACACTTCCCTGTTGAAAATGAAAATTATGTAATCTGAGAAAGCAATCTGGCAAAACTTACTTGAAGCCGTAAACAATTCTACTAATTTATTAGACATTACCTGCTAAGGAAATGAAGTTTGCCCACAAAAATAAGTCTTCCCAAAAGTTTTTGTTGTAAGTTTGTTTGTTTGTTGTTTTTTGTTTTTTAATTTGAGATAGGAGACAGAGTTTCGCTCTTGTTGCCCAGGCTGAAGTACAGTGGTACCATCCTGCAACCCCTGCCACCCAGGTTCAAGCAATTCTCCTGCCTCAGCATCCCAAGTAGCTGGGATTACAGGCGCTTGCCACCACACCCAGCTAATTTTTGTATTTTTAGTAGAAACAGCGTTTTGCCATGTTGGCCAGGCTGGTCTTAAACTCCTGACCTCAAGCGATCTGCCCTTCTTGGCCTCCCGAAGTGCTGGGCTTATAGGCGTGTGTTGTAAGTTCTTTTACAATAACAAAAATTATAAAATGCACAACCATAAACTGACTAAATAAAATATGCAATATTTATAAGAAGCACCATACTATGGATATTACACATGCCACAGCTGTGGTGGGAGGGATCCCTTGAGCCCAGGAGTCCCAAGCAATGAGATCATCCTGGGCAAGATGGCGACAGACCCTGTCTCTACAAAGAAATTTAAAAATTAAAAAATTAGCTGGGTGTGTTGGCACGTGCATACAGTTCCAGCGACTCCAGAGGCTGAAGCAGGAGGATCACTTGAGGTCAAGGGTTCGAGGTTACAGTGAGCTACAATGCCACCACTGTACTCTAGTCTGGGTGACAGAATGAGATTCCGTCTCTAAAATAAATGAATAATTAATTAACTTAAGTAAACTGGGAAAAAAGAATCAGTCTGGATTCAAAGAAGACTTTTGTTGCTCAAAATAAATATAACGAAGATGCCAGAGCTTGGATGGAACTATTTCTCAGGAAATTGATTTACTACAACATAGGAAATCATATGAAAGTCATATGATCGATCGTAGGGAAAAAATGTCAATTAAGTCAAAGCAGAAGAAAGAATGGAAAGGAAAAAATGAAAACTGCAACAGACTAAAGTCATTGTTGGAGAAAGGCTATTTTTAAAAAGACTTAATAGTTAAAAAAATTAAATCCCTGAAATAGGAGACAACGAAGCAAAACAGCGAGCTTTGGAGGGGAATACAGAAAGGAAGAGAGCCTTCACCAGAAACAGCCACGGGCAGACACGGCCCAGGTGCTTTACTCCTCCTAACAGCAGGCGACGGCAGCACAGGTCCCCCTTGAGGCCGAACTGAGGAACTGCCCTTTCCAGTGCAGGGGTAGGAGTGCCAAGCCTTGGGCTCACTTCAAGGTGGGGAAGCTGAATGAGAATCATCCCCAAAGGGGAGCTGAAGTAAGCCCAGACTGGCAGCACCCCAGGCTTCTGGAAACAACAAATGCAAATCCGCTCTGACAAAAACCTTCCTCAGTTGGCCTACAGAATCCCCACAGATGGGGGAATCTGGAGATAATTTAAGCTGTTATTTCCCAAGATATCCCAAGAGAAAGGATTTCTCTCCTATACATCTGGGGAGATACAAGCTATGTTCCATCCTTGGGAAAACTGAAAACGTAGTTAATTCATTTTCTGTAGGGCTTAATTATCTCACAAAACCCTGGTTGAGAAAAGGAGGATGTGATGTTTAATACTGAGTGTCAACTTGACTGGATTGAAGGATACGAAGTACTGATGCTGGGTGTGTCTGTGAGGGTGTTGCCAAAAGAGATTAACATTTGAGTCAGTGGCTGCAGAAGGCAGACCCGCTCTTGATCCGGTGGGCACAATCGGATCAGCTGCCAGTGAATATAAAGCAGGCAGAAAAACGTGAAAAGGAGCCGACAGGCTTCACCTCCCAGCCTACATCTTTCTCCCATGCTGAATGCTTCCTGCCCTCAAACATCAGACTCTAAGCTCTTCAGATGTGGGACTCAGACTGGCTCTCCTTGCTTCTCAGCTTGCAGAGAACCTATCGTGGGACCTTGTGATCGTGTAAGCTAATACTTAATAACTCCCATATATATATATCATATATATAGTATATATCCTATATACTTATATGATATATAGGATACACTCACACCCCTAAAGACTTCATATATATAGACAGACAGATATATACAAGATATATATAAATATATAGAGGATATATATTCTATTAGTTCTGTACCTCTAAGAAAACCCTAATACAGAGGATTAAGATTGGTCATATATGAACTCAAAACATCGCACCAAACACACCATGAAACAAGGTCACCATGACTGAAAGACACAAGAGAAACAATGAGTACACTCACTTAGACCCCTAAAAACAGCAGAAACAATGCGTACACTCACACCCCTGAAGACTTCAGATACAGGAATTCTTAGATGAGATACATAAAATAAGTAAATACAGGCCGGGCGTGGTGGCTCATAACTGCAATCCCAGCACTTTGGGAGGCTGAAGCGGGTGGATCACTTGAGCCCAGGAGTTCAAGACCAGCCTGGGCAACATGGAGAAACCCCATGTCTACAATAAATACAAAAAATTAGCTGGGTGTAGTGGTGCGCCTGTGGTCCAACTACTGCAGAGGCTGAGGTGGGAGGATCGCTTGAGCCCAGGTGATGGCCACACGAAAAGCCCAGACGTCATCACTGTGCAATAGATCTAATGCAACAAAACTGCATCTGTCCCCCCTAAATCTATAAAAATAAAAAAAAAATTATTGACAGGTCAATCAAGCAAAATATTAATGAATATAAAGAATATTTGAGTAATACAACAAACAAACCTGATTTAGCATACAAATATAAAAAGCTCAGAGCTCGCAAAATTAGAGAAAACAGATCCCTCTGAAGCACATACAGAACGAGAACAAAGAAAAAAGCTGACCATAAAGGCCAGGCACAGAGCAACCGCAAACGGATTTCAAAGAAAACTATCATACAGACCATGTTCTCCTAATCACAGTACACTTAAGTTAGAACTTAAGAAAGAAACCAGAAACAAAGAGATTAATCAATATTAAAATTTTACATTTGGAAACTGAAAAAAACAATAAAGAATTCATGGGTCAAAAATGACGTAGTCACAGATGATACAACTGTGTCCAAAAAAACCAAGATAATCTACAAGAAAATTACTTAGAGTAATGAGAGTTCGACAATTCCGTGGCTGAATACAGAACCAACAGATGAAACTGCTTATTATTTCTATGCAGTAGAAGCAAATAATTAGGAAAGAAAAAACTTTTAAACAAGACCATTTAAAAAAAACAGAATAAGCAAGGTAAAAAGACAAAAAGACATTTTCAGGATAGAAGAAAAGAGAGATAAATACAAAAGTGAGATTAAAATCCTACAATCCTCTATTTGAATTACAAAGGCCATGGAATTAATGACATATTTTTCACTCTCTCTTTTTTTTTTTTGAGATGGAGTCTTGCTCTGTTGCCCAGGCTGGAGTGCAGTGGCGCAATCTTGGCTCACTGCAACCTCCGCCTCCTGGGTTCAAGGGATTCTCCTGTCTCAGCCTCCTGCGTAGCTGGGATTGAAGGCATGCCCCACCACATCCGGCTAATTTTTACACACTTTTGTTTTCTTCTCAGTAGAGACCGGGTTTCACCACATTGGCCAGGCTGGTCTCGAACTCCTGACACCAGGTGATCCACCCACATTGGCCTCCCAAAGTGCTGGGATTACAGGCATGAGCCACCGCATCCAGCCACTTTTCTGTTTTTAAAAAGCTCACCAAAAAGCCTGAAAGCAATAAGAACCCAGTAGCAATGACCACAGACGACTGTCTCTAAATATCTTATCAAGGA